GGGGGGAGTGGGGGTGAGGAATGGTTCCGATATCTCACCCCAGAGGTCTACCCTGGCGATGCCCTGACCCTCTCCCCACCACACACACACCTGGACGGGAAGTGGGCGCGGGCAGTGGGTGCTGTCCTCAACCCGCAGGGATGGGGTCAGTAGCGGCCGGGATGCCTTGGGTGGGTGGGAGAGGCTGGAGTGTGTACGTGGGGAGGGTAAGAGTCAGAGGCCGGAGTCTGGTCCCACCCAGTTCCTCACCAGGCCCCAAACCAGCTCCCTCTGGGTCGGAGTCTCCCCACCTCCCTCTCAAGTCCCCTCCCGGTTCTGGGTTTAACTTACCGAAGGTACTCAGCCCCAGGAACAAAACCTGCAGCAGGAACACCATGGCCTTCCCTGGCCCCGATGGTCAGGGGCGCTGGCTCTGGGACGCAGTGACTGCCAGGTGCCGAGGCCACGGGACAGCCGCAGTGACCGCCAGGTGCCGAGGCCACGGGACAGCCGCAGTGACCGCCAGGTGCCGAGGCCACGGGACAGCCGCAGTGACCGCCAGGTGCCGAGGCCACGGGACAGCCGCAGTGACCGCCAGGTGCCGAGGCCACGGGACAGCCGCAGTGACCGCCAGGTGCCGAGGCCACGGGACAGCCGCAGTGACCGCCAGGTGCCGAGGCCACGGGACAGCCGCAGTGACCGCCAGGTGCCGAGGCCACGGGACAGCCGCAGTGACCGCCAGGTGCCGAGGCCACGGGACAGCCGCAGTGACCGCCAGGTGCCGAGGCCACGGGACAGCCGCAGTGAGCCCTTGGAATTTCCTAAATAATGAGTGATAAAGATCTTTTGTTATGTTAATGAGGTGCCTTTTGGAAACCAGGAGGAGGAGCGGGTCAGTGGGTGGGTTGTGGCCACCTGAGCCAAGAAGCCCGAGGCCGCTGGGCAGGAGGTCAGGCCTGCGGGGGGACGCTGGGACCCTCTCCCCCTTTGGGCGGCGTGAAGGGGGGGGCTCGCAGGCCACCGGGTCCAGTGCCCAGTCCCAGGAGCTGGGTGGGGAAAGGCTGGCGGGAGGACGCCCGGGAGTAGCGCGGGACACTGAATACTCACCTTTGCAAACATCCTCCCCTGGGCCGGGTGCTGCTGGGGAGGAGGGGGCTGCGGGGAGGCTGCACCGAGCCCCTGGGGCTTTATTCCCGGGACTAGGTCGCTTTCCTGCGAATTTAGTAACCGCCCCTCCCCCTCCCCCTGCGCCCCCTGGCGGCCGCGGCCCCTCCAGGAAGCGCACGCACCTGTTCCTGCTGCTCAGTCCAACATCCAAAACAAAGATGCTGCAAACATCCCGGCGCAGCTCAACCTCCGCGCAAAGGCCACCGAGGACCCAAAGCGCAACCGCGAACTCCTGGCGCCGCCTGCTCTGGGTGGCTGCTGCCTGGGGAAAAAAGCAGCCAGGCCTCCTGGATTCCACTGATCCAGAGTTCTGCCCTAACATTGAGTGTGTGCCCGGTGCCTGCGCTGCACACAGACCCTCCCGGCTGCTGCGTCCTAGTGTGACTTGCCTGGCTGCTCTTTAAATACCTGCGGGGCAGTGGCTGAGAAATGCCTGTGCGAACACTACACTGCCAGTGTCCACTCTGGAGCCTTGAAGCTGGCAACTCAGTGGTAGCCAAGGCAACAGACATAGATAACTGCCCATCTCATACCCTTAGGCAGCGACCTGCACACTTGAAATTGTCACATAGATTTGGGGGCGGGGGGAGAAGGGGGAGTGTTGGTTTGTTCTTTCTATTGTATCGCACTCAAAATTTTCTTGACTTTAGTTAACATTGCAAACCCCTCTTGTAAACATCTCCCTCCTTTGTTTCCAGATGAGGGTTGTCTCCCCAAATAAGTAACCCCAGAAACGCAGTACGAAGTCTCTTGGTTGTGTATCCCAGGAACACAGCATCCAATCACATAGGCTGTGCTCATCCAAAGTATAGTCCAGGGGTGGGCAAACTTTTTGACTCGAGGGCCACAATGGGTTCTTAAACTGGGCCGGAACAAAAGCATGGATGGAGTGTTTGTGTGAACTAATATAAATTCAAAGTAAACATCATTACATAAAAGGGTACAGTCTTTTTTTCCAATAGTTTTATTCATTTCAAACGGGCCGGATCCAGCCCGCGGGCCGTAGTTTGCCCACGGCTGGTATAGTCTCAACGCTCATTCTCTGTAGCTCGTTTTTAATTTGTAATTCAGACCCCAAATAATGTGCACCATTGAAAGTAAAGCTGCAGCCCAAGACTGGCAGGCAGTGGCTGTTTCCATGTGACACGGCACCAGTCCTTCGGGACTCTCCCTCTGCCCTCGCCCCAAAGAATTTCCACACCGTCTCCTGTCCCAACCCCTTCTTTTTCGGAGCCTGAGGCTGTCAAGCAGTAGAAGTTAGCACAGCAGCTCCATTACTTTAAGTTTTTGCCAAAATGCATTTCAAGGCGAACATTGCTCTCCGGTGTAAAGTGAGAACATTGGCACCGATGACCTGGGAGCTGCCTGGGAACCATGTTGTGTGCAGGAGCCAAGTTCACAGCTCCATGTAAGAAACTTGCAGGGGACTAGTGTTTCTCCAGTCATACCTCATCCTACATCTCTAAGTATTTTCTAGTGCAGATTCTTAGGTTTGAGTATAGTGCCTCCACCCCCTCCCCCCAAATCCATGACAAAGCTTCATTAAGGTCTAAATAGTCCACTTTTTGTTTTGTTTTTAGCAGCGCACATGTCGTTTTCTGACACCCGGATGCCCTCTTTTCTAGAATGCTCTGACCAAAGAGACCGGATATTCAGTATCAACAAGCTACTTTCTTTCCAGGTCTCCATTCCTCAGTGCCCAGCTTTGTCCTCTTGCCGCCATCCCTCACCCATCCCAAGCCCAATGGTGGACTCATGGCCTGGACCAGTCTCGCCACCTTCCCCTCGCTGCTCACAGCGGTCTGGCAGTGCCATTCCCTGTGATGTGGGGTAGATCTGAACCATCTCAGGCAAGGCTCACAAAATGCTCCGCTGGAGCTAAGTACTTAACAGCGATGGAAAGTGAAGCGTAACTAGTTTTGGGGGATCAGTGGCCAAGTTTTAGGGATGTAGTATTGGTAATAACGCTTTGCCCCTGCAGCTCTTAGCACTGAAGGCTGTCGGGTTATTGCTACAAGATGGTGAATGGAGCTTCATTCCGGCCAATTTAATTTAACTGCCCCTCCCCCACCCCCTGCACCCCTGCACTCCCTGGAGGCTGCGGCCCCCTCAAGGAAGGACTGACTATAGGACGGTAGGACTACACAAGCCCACCGCGAGTTTAACATGCTTGGACTACAATTTCAAGTTGCAGAGAAGGGCAAACGCATGAGAATTTCCCAAGGCCTGTCCCTGCAGACTGTGCCCAGGGAAAGGAGGTGCTACACTCAAGCATCCCATAATATTTATACTCTTCCTGAACTCGCACCTGTTTTTAGCAGCTCACATCAGAAAACAGCCGACCCCACAAACCTAGACCCAAATGACATTGATTATAACCTCTCTAGCCACTAGAAAAATAAGTACCAACCAACCAAGAGATACCAGGATGAGAAAATTACTGGTGTGGGAAATAATAGATATATATTTATCAATTTGTAATTTTACCTTCAATTGTATAGAAAAACAGGGAGAATTATAGCTCTTACCTGGATTTGCAGCCCACTTAAAGTCGAGCACCTAGAGCTGTTAGGGAATCATTACAGATAACCAATCTAACAAGTCTCCACCGTGACACCAGAGTGACCTCTGACTACCCTACTAGTAAACTGGCTCTTAGTCACGAGTCCTGACCTCGAAGTGGAGTGCTAGTTGACCCCCAGAAATCTCGGGAAGATCGAAGCGTGATGGTTATCTTTCTAATGGACTGATACCTCCCAGTTTCCTATCCTACGGATCACTTAAAAACTTTTTTGGATGTTTCTGTTGGCTCTTCTCTTTTTTTTTTAAAATATATTTTATTGATTTTTTACAGAGAGGAAGGGAGAGGGAGATAGAGAAACATGAATGATGAGAGAGAATCATTGATGGGCTGCCTCCTGCACTCCCCCTACTGGGGAGTTAGCCTGCAACCCCGGCGTGTGCCCTGATCGGGAATTGAACTGTGACCTCCAGGTTCATGGGCTGAAGCTCAACCACTGAGCCATGCCAGCTGGGTTCTTCTTCCTTTCTTTACTTTTTTTTTAAAAATATATTTTATTGATTTTTTACAGAGAGGAAGGGAGAGAGATAGAGAGCTAAAAACATCGATGAGAGAGAAACATCGATCAGCTGCCTCCTGCACATCTCCCACTGGGGATGTGCCCGCAACCCAGGTACATGCCCTTGACCGGAATCGAACCTGGGACCTCTCAGTCCGCAGGCCGACGCTCCATCCACTGAGCCAAACCGGTTTCGGCATGCTTTTTTTTTTATATAGGCAATATGATGATGCCAATTCTCCACTTTACTCCTTGGGAGAGTTGCCCGTGGTTACTGAGTATAAGATGAGGAAGGAAAGACTCTTATACTTTAATGTACTCAGGGTCAGAAGGAATATCCTAGTCGTTTTTAAAAAAGAAATACAAAATTCAATGTCCAATGACCTTGGGTACACTCTGACAAGAAATAATGACATTGGGTGCAGAGAGTGCAGGAAAGTGAAGATCTGCTGTTTGCTCGAAGTCAGAGCCCAGCGCCCACTGCCAGCGTGGCCACACTCTGCTACAAAAAGCTCAACTACTACGCCAAGAGGCCAGGAATTACTTTAATTTTTTTTTAAAAAAAAGTTTAAACGGCAACACAACCGTCAAGTTGGTACATCACAGAAACAAAGGTCTTTGCAGGCAACACTGATTGGGAATAGCAAAACACTGGGTTGGTGAAAAAATGGAACTCTAAATTATATACAATAGTAGCTAAAGGTGATATTGAAAAACAGTCTTATTTACTGTGACTTGAGATTTAACTTGCCATTATCTATTGCTTATTTATTCAGGGTTGTAAATAATACTTATATAGAGACATAGAGATGTGTAAAAATGAAACGTGGAAAAAATACAAATTTTCAATTTTATATGAAACTCAAAGTATAAGTTTTGTCCAATATGGAATGTAGCTATGTTTGTTTATATTAGGGCTCTAATATCCGTTTAAAAATGTTTTGTTTTTAAAAAACAGTCGACCCACCATGCAAGTTCGCTGTAAATCTCGTTTGCTCAAAGTGAGCATTTTTAGGTGAGGTCTGTGTTGTTTGCTCAAAGTCTAGTGTGATCCTTTAAAGATTGTACTGGCCCAATGGTGGAAAGAGTTTCCATGGAGAGTCTGATGGCAGCATCTGGATGAGGGACAGTCTGGGTCACGGGAAGTGAGAAGAGGGAGGTAAGAGCCCAAATCCTTATGAAGGATGACATTCAGTTGTTAAATTTTAAGCGGTACCCGATGGCTTTTTCTAGGCACTCCACTAAAGAGCCCGCGGAAAGGAAATCCCTCTCTACTTCCACAAACTTGATGTAGATGGATCTGGGGGAGACTCCGGGATCCACAATGCAGTTCTGAGACAAAAACCCATTAATACCAACCCAGTCTTTGCTGAAGGTTTTGGTATTGGCTTGGAAGTGTAGAAACAAGCACTGCTGCAGAGTCCTGACCTCAGCGATCCCGAGGTAGCAATAGGTGATCCGGGCGGGTTCTATGGGTGCAGAAAGGGTTTCCAGGTCAACCCTGCCCTCCTTTCCTGGGTCCAGGGAACTCTGCTCCATGTGGGGGGAGGAGGGCCTCTTCAGACATTCTTCATAGCCAATGGCATACAGGCCGGGGCTCTTGGGAATGCCTCCTGGCAATAAATACTGAACGACGTTGCCACCAGTTGGTTTGGAGTGGGCAATGGGGATCCAGTCAATTTCCATGTGCAGCTCCAGGCACCTGGCCTCACTGATAGTGATCTCTAAGAACTTGTAGTACACATTCTTCCAGTTCATTTTCTGCACGCGGGTCATAATGATCCGCCCCTCGGGCTTCTCGGAGTTGAAGTACTCCCGGAGTCGTTTGCCAAGGGGCACCTGGGAGCTGATCTCAGCATAATGGTAGCGGATATCCTCTTTCCAACGGGTGTTATAACCGATCCCGAAAATGGCCAGTTTATTAGAAAGATGAAGCCTTGAAAAGTCCGTCCAGCTCTGAAACAGTTCCCATTTCAACTGCACTGATTCCAAAATCTGGACGATATTCTGCATGATGTCTCTCTTCCTAGAACGAGAAATAAAAAGCAAATTCCTCAGGGGTCTAGATGAGCACTGTCCATCAGCACTGCCTGCAATGATGGAAGTATTCTATATCTGCGCTGTCCAGTATGCTAGCATCAGCACTCAGATTGTGGCCAGTGTGAGTGAGGTATTTTTCATTATAATTTGAAATTACGGTTTAATAAACACATGTGATTAGTAGCTTCCATATGGGTCAGGGCAGGTTGAGATAACCATAGTATAATATGCTAAGTGAAATAAGTCAGTCAGAAAAAGCAGAACTGTTTGATTTCACTCATATGTGGGATATAAAACTGAAACTCGTGAACACAAACAGCCGTATGTTGGTTGCCAGAGGGAAGGGGGTGGGAGTAGAAGGGAGTCCTAATATAAGGTGAGAGGAGAAGATTTGGCTTTGCGTGGTGGGCACACAGTGCAATATACAGATTTTGTAACATAGAAACCCACACCTGACACCTATATGATCATGTTGAACAGTGTCATCCCAATAAGTAAAAAAAAAGAGAAAGGTAAACAGTATCATTTAAAATAATGAACATCTTAATTTCAAAGTTAGAAATTCTGAAAGTGCAATAATTTTGGCCGATACATGCTTGCAAAAAGAAAATGACATTTTCTTCTATTTGTAGAAGAAATTCATTACCTCTTCCAAACTGAGAACTGTTAGTTCAACACAGATTTAAGATCTGAGAATTCAGATGTAAAAGGTCCATATTAGGCTTAGCTTTTAAGAGATAAAAATTTAAGATAATGAGACCTCGTTGGCTCAGTTGGTTGCAGTGTCGTCCGGTACACCAAAAGGTTATGGGTTCCATTCATAGTTAGGGCACATACCTACATTTCGAGTTCGATCCCCAGTTGGGGCACGTACAGGGGCACGTACCAATTGATCTCTCTCTCTCTCTCTCTCTCTCTCTCTTTTTCCTCCTTTTCTAAAATCAATAAAAGAACACGTCCTTGAGTGAGGATTAAAAAAAATTCAAGATAATGAATTGAGACTGTTCTAGAAAATATTTTATAAAGGGAAAAAGTGAAGAAATTCTGATTTGGATAATTAATAGAGTTATGACAGAAAAGGCAGGGAATTCTTTCTGCATATGCTGCTGAACTCATATTACTGTAACTGATATCCCATGATTCATATATGTGTGGGGATATATGAATTACACATTTGCTTCTCAGATATGGCAAGTCTTTGATATTGGAAGATTGAAGTTTGTTAAGTATTAACTTAGCAACCAACTACTACCCTCTACAACAAGTACAGACTTAAGCTACAAAAATACTCAACTAACCACTCACGCGCCATCAAACGTATGCAAGAAAGAGGGTGTACGTGCCTGTTTATTAGCTTCTTGAGAGGAGACAGACCCTGGAAACTTCCTATCAAATTCTCAAATCTTCCAGGGGAAAAGCTTTCGCAACACTGAGGGATCTCCATGCAGTCATTCTCAGTCTGACCTCTTACTCTCCTTGACTTTCTTTGCGAGATGACAAAGATGTGACATATTTTGCTATCAGCTGCTTCTTGAGGCCAAAAACTGCCCTGGATTTTCCTCCACCCTCCAGGGTGCCTTGAGAGCTTCTCAAGCGTCAGAGTGGCCATCGAGATGAAATCACTGTGTTCCTGGGAACTTGTCCCTCTTCTCAGAGGACACAAAGGCACGTGGCCACTTTTCTAATATTTATAATGTGTACTTGAGAGGTTAAGATATAGGACCGTGTTTCTCCATGGGTCAATGCTTTAAAAAACACGCACCCCAAAACTTATTTCAGAGCCACCATCCTTCCTTGTCCTCTTTTGACATATTCTTTAAAATATATTTTTATTGACTTCAGAAAGGAAGGAAGAGGGAGAGAGAAACATCAATGATCAGAGAGAATCAATGATTGGTTGCCTCCTACACACCCCAAACTGGGGATGGAGCCCACAGCCCAGGCATGTGCTCTGTCCGGGAATAGAACCGTGACCTGGTTCATGGGTTGATACTCAACCACTGAGCCACACTGGCTGGGCCTCTTTTGAAATATTTTACTGATCTCAAGAAGGACTAGGCTAAGGAGTTGGGATGGAAGGCAGAGACTTTTGTCTGCTCGCTGATGTACCCCAATGCCTGACCTACGGTAGGTACTTGATATAAATGTTGAACAAATGAGCAGAATAGTGACTCATCCTCACGGATGAAGGATGGTATTTTACTACAGGTTATGTCAGCTAGTTCAGGCGGATGCCACCTGCAACACACAGAGGAAGAAATCCAACGCCCAAATGAACGATTGTACTCGGCACTGTCACAGGCCTATGTCATCAGCAAGGAACAGCGCCGAGGAAACTTGCAGTGGAAAATAAACGGCTGTTGGGAACCTCTCAAAGCCCTCACCCCGAGATGGGAGCCTGGAGAAGAGGCAGTGCAGGCTGAATGTTTCTGCAGAGCCCGCTCAGTTTCTTCCCTGCTGATCAGCCTGCAGCTCCCTGGGCTAAAGGCTCAGATCGACTCTTCGACGCTATGGGGCACAATGAGAATGAGACCCAGTTGTTGAAATGGTCCTTAAGAACTGTCACATTTCCCGATTTTTAAAATCCCAACCACAGGAAAAGTTTGGGTGGTTTGGGGTTGGTGACGCCAATACTGTGCAGTTCAAGTTCATCCCCAGTTACACCAACCGGGCTTCCTCTGAAGGTCCTGAGTGGGAAAGGGAGGGATGGGACAGCGTAGTGAAAGACACGATGGCCTCTTTGGAGAATAGGGCTCTGAAGGTCTGGGCTGGTAGCCTTGTTTTTTAAAATACGCATCAAAGTTACCCTTCCTTTGGAATATTCTGATGTCATAATTTTATTTTATTGTAAATGTATTTTTATTGATTTCAGAAAGAGGGAGAGACAGAAACTTCAATGATGAGAGAGAATCATTAATGAATTGCCTCCTGCTCACCCCCCCACTGGGGATGGAGTCCGCAACCTGGGCCTGTGCCCTGCCTGGGAATCGAGCTGTGACCTCCTGGTTCCTAGGTCGACATTCAACCACTGAGCCATGCCAGCCGGGCAAGAGCGTGCTTTTTGATTCCCAAAATGTAACCTAAGAAATTTATGTGTCCTCTAGCCCTCCTATCATTTTGCCTAACATCAGATAAACTCAGGGTTCTGTGACTCATCTTTCCATCTTAGTAAAACATCCAGGTATCCAGATCCACACACAGGCTTCTTTTCATGTAACATATTTATTTCTTCTTGTTGTGTATAAAACTCTCACCATTTTAGATTAACCACGGGGAAGCTGAGGCTAAGGGAGTGAGGAAGAATGACTAGACAGGCTTCCTCAGTGAGATGGCGGAGGGAGCACCTTCCCATTACACCGAGATGAATACATTTGTAGAGAGGGGAAGCGTCCACTTACTGTGCTTCTTCAGAAGACTCCTGTTTGATTTTTAATGTTCTCTTTGTGACAGGTATTTCATCTGAAAAGCAAAGGTTTGGAAACAGGTTATATTCTCCTAAGTGGTGGCATACATTTATGTAGATAAGTAGCTATATGTTTACTGTTCATCCACACATCCCAATTTGAGGACTAGATTCTAGTCTTAAACGCTGCCCAATGCCAGATTTATAAATATAACTCTTTTATAATGAGATGCATACATTTATATGCAAGATCAGAAACCAGCTCTACAAGTATAAATTCTTCAAGGTCACCAGTAGATTTCTAGCTGGGAGCTTAAAGCTTAATTTCTCCACAAACATGATTTTTAAAGGAACAAGAATGAAAATAATTCTGCAAGATTTAGATTTTCTATGTAGGTTTTACAGAGGAATTATTTCCCCAATATCAGGATCCACATATTCCGCATGTTATTTTTCTCCCAAAGATTTGGGTGACTTAAATCTCTCTGGCAAAACCAGAGTTATGGGATGCCAAAGTAATTCAGACCTTGTGACTGTTTTGAAATGAAGAGATAGTAATCGCTTAGCATCTGCCCTGTTTGTTCTTCTAATCTTTCTTTTTAAAGAATAATTGATGATTTTTAAAGAGAGAGGAAGGAAGAGGGAGAAAGAGAGAAACATTGATGTGAGAGCACAACATCAATGGGCTGCCTCCTGCACACCCCCCACCAGGGATCGAGGCCGCACTGGGCATGTGCCCTGACTGGCAATCCAACCAGCAACCTCCTGGTGCATGGCATGACACTCAACCGAACCACACCGGCCAGGGCTTATTCTTCCAATCTTAAAGTCTCTCTCTTAAATTGTGTTAGTCCTACAGTTATATAGCCTCTTTCTTCTCTCCCTCTCTCTTCCAATATTTGAGATTAAACAAACAAACAAACAAACAAAAACAGCATTCATGAGAAACACAAGCATTTAATACTGTTTCTTTTGAATTAGCATCAGGAATGATGACTGAGTAATGCTAATTATCTTGAGCTGGAGAGGTACACCAGTAGCACCAATCCTACTATACTTTCTCACTGGCGAGTAACAACATTTACTTGTGAGTACTCATCACACAACTCGCCATTAAGCTATAATGGCTGCAGCAGAAATGTGGGTAGGACTTCCACATCATGAAAATCAAAAGTGGGGCATTTACTACAAAACCACTTACACAGACCCTCTCAATGAGGCCACACAAGCTGGGCTTTGGTGGCCAGGAGTTTCATTTCCATTCTAAACGTTAAGACTGTGGTCAATCATTTCAGCTGTTGCTGGAATCCTTTGTGAAGTCTGAAGGAATATGACTGCCGAGAAAGCTCAAATATGAGCCCTTTTTAAGATAAATCGAGGCTTCCCTTCATATTTTGTTCAGACCGCAGTCTGGGAGGGGACCATTTCCAAATCACAAACAGAAAAGGAAAAAAGATAGCTCATCTCTAGCAGTTGAGCCAAGAGTCAGTACTCGTGGCAGTCACCGTAGAGCTAAGAGCTGCGGGGTATCTCAAACTGCACAGGATTCTGCCACCACGCTTCCTGTGTAGCTCGGAATGAGGAATTCTTCTGTGGATTCAGGCTGTTTGCTGGTACCCAAATCAGCAAAGGACCAACACCAAGCACTAGCGGGTAGTTTCAGGCTAAATCAAGGCCGCCCAGAGTGCCCCAGATAAACGGGCTACATGACAGTAGGGACAGTGCCAGTCCCGGGGCACATACGAAGGTACCCATACACACACACACACAGACACAGACGAGGAGCAGGTACGCCGGCTTTCTTACCCAATTCCTGATCTGTTGGGTAGCCATGGAGATCCTGACTGTGGTTTCCCCAGTCCTCCTGTGAATACTCCTCCATAGTGCTGCCATCTGACTCCAGCTCCTGGTACAAGCCACTACTGTTAATAAGGACAGGCTGGCAGGGCTGAGCATCCCATCCTCCCTGACCAAACACCTGTTCCAACTGTTCAAATGTGTAACTGCTCTTTCTTTTCCCAACACCATGTTCTTTCACCCGACTGTAACACCTGCGAAGGGTCTAAGACACAAAGTCTTTTGTTATTCCTTTAAAGCTGTCCTTCCTCTTCCAGGTACGGACCACAGATATTAATTACTATGAGACAGACACAGACAGACAAACACAGACACATTGTTACAGGAATGCTAGATTTCAAAATCATGATTATATTAGAGAAAAAAAAATTACTAATTTAGCATTTACTCAAACATGTTATCATTCAAACAATTACTTTGCAATTAATTATCCATTAAACAAGAATCATTACAACATTATTGCATGTACCCCATACACATATTTTTATACCCCCTCCCCCACTTAAAAAGAATAAGGGGGGGAAAAAAAAAAAGAAAACAAGAAATACCAGCCAGCCAATAGGATGCACACCTGCCACAGAAGAGATAGAGCTGCTTTGGGGCCAGAATTGGGAAAAAGTGAGGGAGGGAGGACAGAAAGGAGAGTTCCCTGAAGCAAAGAATATAACCTTCCTTACTCTTGATTAAGGGATACAGGGTAAAAACAATCCCCTAAATGAAGCGACTAGGAAACCGTATTACTCAGATGGTCCATATCCCTCACTAACTCACTGTCTTTGGGGAAGTTGCTAAGATTTAAGAGAGGTCAAGTCAACCATGCTACCGATTCCCTGTCTCAAACATCAATTATCAAGAAAGAATATACCTACATCTAAAAATTAGCCAGTAAGACTCGTCTATTCTATCAACTCAAACTGCCAGCCAAACAAACCAACACATGAGGCCGCTAATTTCCTTTTTGGGGGAAAGTGAGGTAGAGGGGTGTTACTTCATTTATCTTTCTGCCTTTTAACGCACAGCAAATAAATATCATTCTGCAAGTCCACATATAAAACCTGGATAACTTTATCATCTTACACAACCCTTCCATTTTCTTCATGGTCTTCTAAGGCACAGTTCTTATTATTAGTTCAGTTTCCTTAGTTGAACGATATTGCAAAGGCTACACCAAGGACTTGGTCCCAGCTTCCAAATTTAGTTTAGTTGCTCTCAGTCTCTCTCCCATCTCTGCCTCCATGTTCCTTCTACTTGACTGGGTTTCACCCTGAGTTTCCTTGAGACAAGACCCTTTTTCTCTGGTGGCTCCCAAATACTTTCTAACACGCCTGCGCAAAAGCAGTTCGCCTCAGACTTCAATACGTGCGCTTGCCAGACTATAAATGTCTCCTACATGTGAGATGGCGTCCCATAAGCCAACACATCACCTGTTCTCACCAAACAAAAACAACTCAAAAGCCTTTACAGAACCTCCATGGAAGTTCAGTGTCTCTAAATCGCAGTTGACAAACCACAAGACACTCCATAAAATACTCTGCAGATCTTCTCTTGATGCCGGAAACCCAGATGGGCAAAAGGAATAAGAGCAGGGCACTTAGGACGACATTCCTCAGACACAAACAGAGTGGTGGTCAGCCTCACCCTGTCCCCAAACCAGCCAGCCTGCCCCTGCATGAGCACCTTCCTCCCTCTTCCTCTCTCGAGATCTCCTCTGCCTCCACTGGTGCCTCAAAGAACTGAGGCTTCTCTTCATAAGGGAGGGTCACAGATGCCTGCACAGAGATCCGTGGATTCTCTGCTCTCTCCCCCCCGTGCTCTCTGCCCTCCTGGCAGAGACGGGAACTGGAATTGCAAACATCTGACAATTTATTTTTATCTCCCCATGTCTAGTTGCTGCCTCCAAGAACACCCCAACCACGCTTTTTGACTCCTTAAGGACCGTACATGGAGAGTCCCAGCCGTGTCCCTTTCACCCTCCAGGGCCATAAATGGATGTGGGAACCGTGCCACCACCGCCTGGCTGCCTGAGAAAAGCACCCGGCACAGGAAAGGGACCCGTGGGCTGTCACCGAGGGCTAGTCCCGAAGTCAGGAAACACAACGATGGTCCTTTGAAGAAAGGGGCCACACTTATCAGGCCGTGACGTGGGCATCAACAAAGCCACCGATTTCTGACCCTATAGTGGGAAACCACAGGAAAGACCGAAACCACCGAAGTGAGCTTAAACTCACCATGTAACTGTGCATAAGAAAACCAGCCATATCGAACGGTCTTAGATATGGAAGCACGGTCAGATGATGCATTTGATATGTCTCGCTTGGTAGTGTACTTGTGAAATACACTTTAATAGTTAACATGCTGGTATGTAACACGTCTAGTAGGGTCTGAAGAAAAAATGCTTGGTGATCCTCAATCGTTACGGTAAAATTTGATGTACTGAAAGGTGAAAAAAGATTTCCAAATTGATTTTAACTCTCCAAACATAAATACCTAAGAGGTATCTTGTAGGTTCAGCAAAAATTACAGATCTAAGGAGAAGCTGTTGAAACAGGACATAGAAAAAAAAGAGCTCAAACTTCAGCTTGACTGCTACCAGAAACCAGAGGGATTTAGAAATGGATCAAAAGGACACATGGAGGTGTCCTCCCCAGTTCTTACCTCCCATAAACCAGACAGGTTACACCTTCCACACTCTCAATGGTTAACCAAAGCATACACTGAAACAACGGTGTCTGAAGTCCTACGCAGACCAGCTTAAACGCCTACTCGAAATCTGAAGTTAAGACAATGCTCCAGAATCTAGAAAAAACAAAGTCTCGCCTCCCATTTCTGACAGCTGCACCAAACCCAGTGAGATCCTCACGTTAGCTTTTCCTGGAGAACCAGTTCCTATTTCCTCTCAGAACAATCGCCTTGCTTTCCTTCCTTCTTCCTTTACCTCACTCCTCTGAGAAATTTACAGTGACTTAAGTTCTATTTTTTTTTAAGCTCTAGCATTAAAAACAACAACAGCAATGAATATCTTGGGGGGGGGGGAGAATTTGCTTAAAATTATTAAAGACCATTCTATTCACAATTAAGAAGACCGCTTTCCTTGTTAGAAATTTCCATGGTAAACAAGCCTCCGGACCCCTCCCCTGGGGAAGAGCTGTGAGATACAGGGCATCTTGAATGAGGTCACAGGGATGGGGGTCAGGAGGAGCTAAGGAAACCTGAACAGAGGCCAGAGAGTGTAGGTAACAACTTGAGTCGGTGATCAAAATCGGAGGACTTCCCAGGTATTTGATCTCGAAGCAATGCCAGGCGAATGCTTACTGAATCCCGTGCCGGCTGTACAACGACCACAGAAGGAAAAGAGCCACAGAGAAGACTTAAAGGCGTCCCATCACCAAAGCAGGGAGACAAATCAGAAGGCCGACAACCGACAATTTAGAGACAGAGGGAAAGTGTTGCCCGAGTTTAAGATTAGACTGAAAAGAAACGAGAGAATAAAGATGACATTCATTGTGGATGAATGTAAGGGGAGTCTACGGGGGTGGGGGGAGGGCAGGTAAACGAAGGCGGGGATTTGAGATGGGCGGGGTTGGGGGTTTCACGCAGCAATGCAGAGAAAGACCCAGGGTTACAGTACACGGAACATTAAATACAGTGCACAATGCAGCTATCTTGCCAAAGTAAGTAAATCCAGTATTGGGTTGGATAAGCAGAGGAATCACATGTAAGCTATGAAGGTGGCTCTTCCTCTCTAGTCAGCACCGGTGAGGCCACAGCTGGAGCACAGCATTCAGTTCTGGGCATCGAACCAGCTACAAGAGAGGGAAATTGTAGAGTTCAGAAAAGGGCAAATAATATAACGAAAGGCTTGGAAAATAAGATCTGTACGTAGGGCCAGTGGTTTCATCAGAGCCTTTTCTGCCATCACAGAAGCTACTTTGGGGATACAGACAAGGTTTCTTTTGCCTCAGTGTCCTCCAGTTCCTCCTCTGCCTGTCAGGAAGTGGGAAGAACTGCATTCTTCCGTGGTGTGGCAAGGTCGGAAGCAAGCTAAGCCAATCGTATGGGCATGTGCCAACTAATTCTGCCACTGGCTCAACTGTTTTCTCAAAATGTACCCCCGTTTCATTCAATCATAAAGTAAGCACCATGACAAAACCACTGTTCTAACAGAGCTGACTGCGGGTGGGACGGCATACGAGGAGGGAGCAACGGGCACAACAGCCATGTGAACGTATTGTGTGGTCTGAGATGTCGGATGAAAACTCAAGTCCGACCCTGGAAGGACAGCTTGGTTATAACAGCAGGAAACAATGTTATAAGAAAAAACAAGCAGTGAAACAGATTTCCAAATGGAGCTGCCAAACTGGCCATTCTAGAAATGGGTCACGTAGTTTATCTTAACACTCTGCCAACTAACTATGACACGTTTGAGATCCTTTTAACCCAACTGATTAAGTAAAGAATATACTTATTTGCAAACAAAGTCTTAAAAGTCATATATTATGTTCCACCGGAAATGGGGGAAATTACTGGGAGTAATTCTCCAGTGACTGATTGTAAAAGTGTTGAGAACAATTCCTCTGCCTACGCAGATGTGTATTTTGAAGCAAAAAAGTCTTTGTGAAACAGCTCTATCTTCTTCCTTTAAAGTTTAATTACCACTTTATTGTAATTAGTTACTCTTAGTTAATTGAGGCAAAAAAACCAACACCGAGTTCATTCAAAATCTTTAAGATTCAAAATTTATTTAATTAGTTTTATTTTCTGACTCTGAGTACAAGGTAGGAAAGGAAAAAACCCGAAAGAAACATTTCTGTGCACAGTAAGAGGGATATTAAGACTATAGTATGAATATCTATCTATGTATCTATGTATATATGTATTTATCTATCTATTGAGATGTAACTAATGATTAGGGCATCATCTAAGGCAAAATCCATCCATCTGGGGCCAGCAGGACTTGTCTCTATTTTCTTAGGGTTTTATACATTAAAATCTGGCAAACTGACTTGCCAAATCATCTAAATCCTTTAAAACCAACCAAACACCCCTTCCCCCCAGAAAAGCACACCCACAGAAATACATTTCTTGTTCCACACTCCCATCGTTCTTAGGGAAACAGAGGACGTTCTGGCAAATGAAAGATCTATTCTTAAATTTTCCTTTTCCTCTCCAGAGAAGAGTCTTAACTGTTTTGAGTCATGGATTTCCTCCCCATAAAAATACACACAAGACAATTTCAAGGGGAACATGGACTCTGTGAAGAGCCCATACAAGAACCTCGTGTTAAAAAACTGCTCTGTCCCATGTGGTTGTTTCCTCCACAAAAGAATGTAAGAGGGCCGAAACCGGTGTGGCTCAGTGGATAGAGCGTCAGCCTGCGGACTGAGAGGTCCCGGGTTCGATTCCGGTCGGGGGCATGTGCCTGGGTTGCGGGCACATCCCCGGTGGTGGATGTGCGGGAGGCGGCTGATCGATGTTTCTCTCTCATCGATGTTTCTAACTCTATCTCTCTCCCTTCCTCTCTGTGAAAAATCAATAAAATATATTTCAAAAAAAAAAAAAAAGAATGTAAGAGGAAGTAGCCAGAAATCCTAAGATAAGGTAGATTTCATTCAAGTCTTACATTTTACAAGAGAGTCTAAGAATTGGGGCATCCAGTTTAAGTACAATTTACCCATCTTACTCACTATTCTGTTCATTTAGATAAATCACCATTAATATTTCCTTTGAAAGGTAAACTAGCCAAATTCTCCTGTTTCTTGAAAGAAGCATACAAGGTTATCAATTTACTCTTTAACAAAATATAGTACTTTTTCTATTTCCTGGGAAAGAAATCTTTTTCTGAAGTGGCAGTTAAGCAATACTACATAACTCAGAGTTATGCTGGTTACCTGTTCCGACTGTATCACATCGTACTGGAGCATTCAGTATCTGATTAACATCAATATCGATGCTAGATAAATCTCCCAAGATAACAACTTAAAACAGGGACATTCCCATATCTAGAAACAAGCATGGACATGAAATTAAGTCTTAGTAGTCACAATGGCCAACCTTTAACATCTTCCCATTTTAACACTAAAGGGGTCTCAAAGGATTAGGCACCGCCTACTTACTCAATCCTTAACCCAATGGGATTATTCCGTTGAAACTGTTCATATTATGGTCAGCAACGTCTTCTTAATTAAGAAAAATGGTCCTCAAACTTAGTCCTTAACTCATTTGAGTTTCCCGAGCATTTAATACTATTTATTATGTATTCCTATCCTTGCCAAATCTCTCTTATAAAACTTTCTATAACAGCCCGACTGGCGTGGCTCAGTGGTTGAGTGTTGACCTATGAACCAGGAGGTCACTGTTTGATTTCCGGTCAGGGCACATGCCTGGGTTGCGGGCTTGATCCCCAGTGTGGGGCATGCAGGAGGTAGCTCATCAATGATTCTCTCTCATCTCTGATGTTTCCATCTCTCTAATATCTCCAAGTGCCACCCACAAAATGTTGATGTTTCCTCTAGATTGTGAGCTCCATGAGGTAGGGATCATGTCTGCCTGTTCAGTTTCTCTGAGCCCAGAATAGACCTATTGGATAAGGACTGTTCAATATATTTATTAAGTAAATGAATTACTGTAACTTTTTTAAAAATATTTTTTTATTGATTTCAGAGAGGAAGAGAGAGATAGAAACATCAATGACGAGAGAGAATCATTACTTAGCTGCCTCCTGCATACCCCCTATTGGGAATTGAGTCTACAACCCTGGCATGTGCCCTGACCAGGAACTGAACCGTGACCACCTGGTTCAACCACTGAGCCACACTGCCTGGGTTGAATTAAGGTAACTTTGAAGTAGTAAACCACTTAGCAAGAAGATGAAATTTTCTTAGCGAAGAAAATCAGAAACTCATTTAACCATGATGATAGATTTTATTTATAAAATCGATAAATCAAAGCAGGTAGGGCTCTTAAAATCTTTTGAAAAAATAAGGAGCAGAAAGGGTATTAAAAAAATACAGTGCTATAATTAGCAAAGCAAATTGATTTCTTTGTAACAAAGGAAGACTAACTGCAAAGGTCAAAGCTATTTTAAAAATATCTAACATATTGCCCTGGCCAGTGGCTCAATGGTTAGAGCATCCGCCCACACACTGAAAGGTCATAGGTTCGATTCCTGAGCACTTACCTGAGTTGTAGGTTTGATCCCTGGCCCAGTTGGGGTGTGTGCAGGAGGCAACCAATTGGTGTTTCTCTCTCACATGGCTGTCCTCCCTCCCTCCCTCCCTCCCTTCCACTCTCTCTAAAAAAATCAATGGAAAAAATATCCTCGGGTGAGGATTAACAACAAAAAATAAAAATATCTATCATTCTCATTATATTTTTCTTGGAGCTGGGGATCACCTGCCAAATGAAGCTCTACAGCCTTGTCCAAAGTTTATTATTTCTTATGCCCTACAAATTATAAAAAATATTTCTAAAATATAGAGTAGTTCGGTCAAAGATAGAAAGACTGGAGGTGTTTCCTGGATTTTAATAGGGTTAATCGGAAGAATGACCACTGGAAACCGAGATCTTCCCTTCTCCCTGCTTCTCTGGGGAACAGTCCCGGACTGAATTCTACCAGCTTGCACTTCTTCCTGAATCTGGCTATCAACAACTCATTAAAAAAATGTGTGTGTGTGTGTGTGTGTGTGTGTGTATGGTGTTTACTGATTTCAGAAAGGAAGGGAGAGGGAGAGAGAGATAGAAACATCAATGATGAGAGAGAATCATTGATTGGCTACCTCCTGCAGGCCCCACACGGAGGATCAAGCCTGTAACCCAGGCATGTGACCTGATTGGGAATCAAACAGTGACTTCCTGGTTCATAGGTTGATGCTCAACCACTGAGCCACGCCAGCCGGGCTCAGCAACTCATTTTTATGCCTCTAACTGGTCAGTACGATCTTCACGAAAGACAGATTCTTGCATAGAACAAATAATTCGGGAAATTTTGATTTTCAGTATCAACCCCTAAGTTTTCTGGGTTCCTCCACACTAGCAGCGAGGGTCTTGTGTCAAAGGGGACAATACTTAAAAAACAAACATCTTTCATTGCTCAAGGAACTACATTCACATGGCCATAAAGCTTTCAACCTTCCACTGTGGGTAAATCATACAATACTCAGACAATAGCTCATACTGCCAACAATACTATAAAAGCCATACCTAATATGCGTGGTCATGTTCAAGGGTTTCTTTGGGGTACAAGAATCCTTCTAGACATGGAATCAAGTGTTTTTCTATTTAAAACAAGACAGGTAAAAAAAATTAGGGTATACTGAATTACTTAACCATTCTGCCATAGGCAGCAACAAGTGGTTACAGTCATCAAAGAGTGTCAGATAACACTGCTTGTCTAGAACTTCTTTCCCATAAAGGGAAAAAAAATCAGTTGTTTGGTAAAGAATGACTTGCATTAGAGGTTATTTTCATCTGACCTCCTATGTCACCTCTACAGTTGCTGCATCAGCATCTGTGTTGAATTTTTTTCTCAGTACTTCACACCCTGGGGCACCACCTCTAAGTGGTATTTAAGGTGATATTAAAAATGTTAACTTTTAGTAGTATCTTATAACTGAACAACACATTCAAGAGAATTATCTAAAATATTTCTAGGATAGCAGAGAAGATTCATTCATCTCTGAAGGCCTCCCATACAAATGGCCTGCATTACGCACTAACTGTTCCATAGTCAACCATGTCTAAATATTAAGATTTACACATGCACAAGCATGTACACACAAACAAAAAACTCCACACCTGTATCATTACAATATGTGTATTGTATTGTATTGCTTCCCAAACACGATGGTACATTCTTCTATTCATGAGACCAATGTTTAAGAGGGAAACTGTGCAGAGCAGCCCTCGCCACGCCCCCCCCCCGGCCGCCCACCCCAAATAGTAGGCTATTCTATTCCTTTCATATGCTGATGATGTTATTCTCTCAGTTTTGTAGTTATTATTATTATTTTCTTATTAATGTGGATCCTGAGAGAGAAGATACCTACTAAGAAGGGCTCCCAATGGTTAATGGGGCTCAAATTAAAAACTGGAGGGAGGGAGGGAGGGAGGAAAGAAACAGAGCCTAGCAGCCATTTCTATACAGGGCCTGAAGAAAGAAACAAAAGAAACAAAAGGAA